ACGCTGCAGAGGTAAACCCCGCCTAGCAGTCGTCGCGACATTTCCACGGTATATCAGATTGCTAAACCCTAAACCCTGAACCCTAAAAACCCAAAACCCTAAAACCCTAAACCCTAAACCCTAAAACCTAGAGCCCTAAATCCCTAAACCCTAAGTAAAGGAGTCCTTAACACAAAGCCCGTGGAGGCGACTCCGGGTTGGCTGGAGCCGCTTCTGGCACGAATTCAGGAGGATCGAAGGCCTTCCGGCAGGGATTTTTAGGGTTTTTTTGGATTTAGGGCTTGGGGTTTAGGGCTTAGGGTTTTAGGGTTTGGGGTTAAGGGCTTAGGGATTTAGGGTTTGGGGTTTAGGGGTTTAAGGGTTTAGGGTTGAGGGTGTCGGGTTTGGGGTTTAGGGGTTTAGGGTTTTTTGGTGATTTAGGGTTTCGGGTTTGGGGTTTATGGGTTTAGGGTTCAGGGTTGAGGGCTTAGCGCCTGGGTTTTTCAGGTTTTAGGCTTTAATTAGGTTTTAGGGTTGAGGGCTTAGGGCTTGGGTTTTGCAGGTTTTAGGTTTAAAATTTTCGGGTTTAGGGTTTCGGGCTTGAGGGTTTAGGGTTGCACGACCGGGTTGCCTCCAAAGGGTTGCCTTTCGGGGTTCCATGTGCGCTCGATAAGGGGGCTTTAGGGCTTTCGGGCTGTAGGGTTTTAGGGTTTAGGGTGTAGGGATTTAGGGTTTTCAAGGGTCTCGGAATGGATTCATCTTTCTGTAAACCCTGCGCCCCCACTCTTCCAAGGCATTTTAAAGTAATTGTCTGTGTTTGTGCGCTTCACATCGAGTCGGACATGGAGCACGTGTGTTTTTCGCTTTCCAGTCATTTACAAGTTTATGAGCAGTAACAAGGTTTCCAATGTGTGCGACCCCCTTGTTCGACGGTGTCATAGTATATAGAAAAGCCGGGACCGGGTCGCGCATCGTTGGTTGACGCCGTGTTGTCGGCCAGCCTGTCAGTCTTCAGCAGCATTCAGGGTTTCGGGGGCCTGGCCGGTTGAGAGTTCAGGATTAAGCAAGTCATTGCATGGGTAGGTTGAACGTATTCCGAAGCCGGAATACAAAGATCGAGAAGAGCCCAACAACGCAGCCCGTAGCCAACAAGGATGGTCATAGCTTAGTATATCAAGGTCCTTAACCAGAAAAGGTGTTATCAATCAGAGGGGTTTACACTACTATCTCGGCTTTATGGTTGCAGGCCGTGAGTCAGTCAGGGCTTGCAGAATCTTGCAGTTGAGGAGTTTGAAGAATTGTCAGGGGACTGAAGAGTGAGGACGCGGGGATTTGGCTAAAGTACCAACTGTTAAAGTGTATTAGGGGGCTAGGGAAGGACTTTGCGTTGGTTTCGGCTCAGTTCTGTGGCGGTCGGTGCAGGTTTGTGTTGTGACAGAAGGCTTTCCACGCCGTCACTTGTTAGGGCTTGGGAGCTGCAGAGCGTTTAGAGAGGGTCCTTAATCGCCCTAACAAAGCCTTACAGTAGTGTGGTTTTTGGACTCAGAAGCCTTACGATTTTGAGTCCTCAGGGAGCCTCAGGGTAAGCCAAGCCCCATCAGCGGATCTGGCCGATGCTTGCTGTCTTTGTTGCTCCAGGCCCAGTTGGGCAGCCGCCACCCCCGGGAGGGGGTTAGATGGGTGAATCACTTTGACGGAAATCTTCTACTTAGGCACTAAAGCCTAGACCAAGAGGGTTTGAGGAACAACTGGATTTGACAGTGCTGCCATGTCGCCACGAGCTTGCTCACGAGGTACTTTGTAATTGTCTTTGTGTCGTGTTTTCGGCCTCATTCTGTAATGCTTTGTGGGTCTGTAGGCATCACAGTAGGTGCTGTACCGCGGATTTTTCTCGGCTTTAGGCGTCCATAATATAGGGTTTAGGGCCTAGGGCGTCCAGAATAGCCCAGATGGGCTTGAACTGCGCTTGTAAAGGGTTTATGCGCCTCGTTCGCTCGGAAGAGTTGTGGTTACAGGGGCCTTTTGGCCGCTGGATGCGTCAACACTCAGGCTAATGTAGGGGCCTTAATCATCAGACTCAGAACACGGTTTTGAGGCATGTGATACTACAACTATAATAAGGAACCCTCCAAAACAGTAGTATAGGCAATTATTGAGACCCCTACATTACTTGGTTGATTGTTTAGGGTTTATAGGGTTTAGGGATAGGTAATTATTGAAGCCCCTATGTTACTTGGGTTACAGTTCAGGGGTTTGGGGTCTATGGGAGGCTATAGGCGAGGGTTCCGCGAGGGTTCGTCAGACCTTCAGCTGCGTGGATCTTTGTGCCCATTCTCTTTTCTATTGATGGGTTTTTGGGGTTTTAGGGTCTAGGGTTTATAGGGTTTAGGGTTTGGGCTTAGGGTTTAGGGTTTAGGGTTTAGGGCTTAGGGTTTAGGGTTTAGGGTTCAGGGTTTAGGGCTTAGGGTTTAGGGTTTAGGGCTTACAGTAGAAGCCCAGAAGTTGGAAACGCATTAGCCTCAATCCTTCAGAGTAATGTATAGGGAATCCCAGCACTGTTTGTCCTGAATCCGGCTGCCAACTTTCTCGGGTTAACTATAGTCAGTCTACTTTGTAGTTGGCATCCCGTCGGCCCTTGTTTAGGGTTTAGGGCCTAGGGTTTAGGGTTTAGGGTTTAGGGTTTAGGGTTTAGGTTCTAGAATACTATGCCAGCAAGGCGTCCAAGCAGGGGTTTAGACTGGATCCCCAAACCCCAAACCCTTGATGCACAACATGGCTTCCTAAACCCTACAAACCCTACACCCTAAAAACCCTAAACCCCAAACCCCTGAAGCCTAAATCCTAAACCCTAAGCGATGAAGTTTGGGTTCTTTGGGGCTCGGGCTCACGGCCTATACTCTCAACTTGAAAGCAGAAGCTAGGCTGCAACTGGGGGAGGTCGACACAGGGGGGGGGGTTAGGGTTTAGATGAGTAATTCATTTAGTAATTAAGTAGGTAAATAAGTAAGCACGTACTGAGAAGTAGGCAGGTAAGTCAGTACAAACAAGCAACAAGTATGCAAGTAAATCAACTAATGCTTGCATGCCTCAGTTTACATAAACATACATAGTCATAGCATATCTTCAAAGTCGAACAGACTAGATAGAGGAACTTGCAGGCACATCTACAAATATTGCACAGGCTCTTGGATTCATGTGTCCGCAAGACCGTGAGAACAGGGTCGACCATCTCGCGTTCTCCTGCGTTTGTTCAATGCGTTTCCATACCTGCCCAAATCCAATAGTACCTCGCATCCCAAATTAAAACTTAAGCTGTCAGCTCCATGTCGGCTGTCAGCCTTAGTCCTGTGACCAGCAGAACTTTTCCAATTCTTCCCACAGTCTGCGAGCTTTGGCGTTTAGATCGGATGCTACTGCTTGGGCGCCCACAAAAGCACAGGGACCCTACCACGGTCTTAGTACGTAGCAGTTTAACTGAAACTCCCACTAGAATAGTCAATTGGTACAAGAGTGAACTCGTCTACTATCTGCCCGGAGAACTGCCGTAGCATTGTCTATAGAGTCCCTTCGAGTGGGGGCTTGCAAAGCAGGTTGTAGGGCATCCCCATGTGCGTGTGATGCCCGCAGTTCAAACCGAAACCTCAACTACAGTTTCTTTATCTACACCCTAAACTTAAAACTGCGCAACGCCAAGCTCCAGCCCGTAAGACTTAGACAAGCTTGAACCCTGGATGCAAAAGGCAGAGTATGCCTGTGAGAGCGGATCTCTTGGTTGCCTCCGAAGAAGCTCGGTTGCGATGGGGTTACAATTCCGGCCCTAGGTGGTGTGCAAGACTCACCCTGACCCATATGCCCTAAACTTATCCACAAGGCTTCGGCCTTAAAGGAACCCTCAACCCCAAGCCCTACAATTACCCTGACCCCCCAACCCTGTGGGCAGCACCCTATAACCGTTATTTTCAGGCCGTAGGTCAGTGCGAAGGGTGTAGTGCTGAGGCTTTTGGTACCTGTCCCCTTAGGGTTTAAGGTTCAGGGCCTTGTAGGTTACGATACCTGATGATAGTTGTAGATCCTGTCTCTACACGGCTTATCCACAACAGAGTCATACAATCCAGCGTCACTTTTGGGCATCAGGTTAGGCATGGGCCCCAGCGTGGGCTTTGGTCGACATAAGCTACGTACTCCCCTTCGTAACTCTGTTGCCTAAACCCCAAGCATTAAACCCTAAACCCACAGATGA